GCTACAACACGTATACTACGTCAAAGACTTGCCAATTCTAAAAATAAAAATATGTCCACATGCAGTAACAACAAAGATGAAAGACAGGTAGCAGAAGTTTTAGTAAAAAAATTAAGAAAAGGAGATAGGGAAGATCAAGATAGTATTGTTGATTTGAGACTTGCTGTCACTGGTGCACAGGATGCTGGAAAATCAACTCTCTTAGGTGAGAGGATTAGCAGAGGACATTTAAGGTAGAGAAATATACTTAGAGTTTACTCTGCTAAATTCATTGTTTGTTTAGTTAATAAAATTTTAAATGAAACATAAATTTTAATATTCAAAAAATGTGTATAGGTGTATTAACCCAGGGTGAATTAGATAATGGTAGAGGGAGAGCAAGGCTAAATATGTTGCGTCATCTTCATGAAATAAAAACAGGCCGTACATCATCAATATCGCATGAAATTATAGGATTTGACAATGAAGGACATGTTTTAAATTATGCAGAAATGGCAACAGCAGAAGAAATATGCGAGCATGCATCAAAAGTTGTTACATTTATAGATTTAGCTGGTCATCGCAAATATTTAAGAACAACAGTACTTGGTCTTACAGGTATAGTAATTCGATAATTTGTTAAGTTTAAACTAATAAAATAGTAATTGATAACTTTTCCTTTCAGGATATTCACCTCATCACGTAATGTTAGTTGTAGCACCACCTATGAATGAAGCGTCGCAAGAACATATGGCATTATGCCTTACATTGAGACTTCCATTTTTTATAGTTGTAAACAAGATTGACCTTGGTTTTTGTAGTACATCCGAAACGATAAATCAGTTAGAAAATGCTATTAACGCACAAGGATATTCAAAGCAATTGATAATGTATAATAATAGTCAAATATCGTGGGATTTTGAATCAGATATAATACCTGTATTTAATGTAAGTTGTGTTACTGGAGAAGGTTTGGAAGATTTAACAAATTTCATAAAAAATTTGTCACCATATAATGTAAATTCTGCAGATTCAGATTCTGAATCGTGTTTATTTCAAATTGATGAAACTTTCAGGTACTTTTTTCTAAAAATATCATCAGATTATATTTAATAACTATATAAATTATAAATTGTTTCATTCCAAATAGAGTAGCAGGTTTGAATGAACCTGTTTTGGGAGGATTACTCGTAAAAGGAGCAATTGCTCTTGGAACTCGATTGTTAGTGGGTCCTTTACCAGATGGCGAATTTAGTCCCGTTAAAGTCGTTAGTTTACATCGCAATAAAGCTCCATGTTGTCTAGTAAGAGCATCGCAAAGTGCTAGTTTAACATTAGCACCGTCGACAAACCGAAGTCCCCCTTTACCTCATCTACGACCTGGAATGGTTTTGATATCAGTATGGGATCAGCCTCATGCGACACTTTTTTTTCAGGTACATCCAATATATCAATATCTTATATTTTATATATATAAAATATATGTAAAATTTAAATAAATAATTAAATAACAATTTTATATGAATATTTTTTAGGCAACCGTATTAATAGTATATCATGCGACTGCAATATTTTCTGGTTTTCAAACAACTGTGCATGTAGGAAATGTAAGACAAACATGTATTATAAAGGGAATAATGGACGCAAAGGACAGAGGTTTACAGACAAACGATACAGCGTCTGTGCTATTTAGGTTTGTTAACCATCCAGAATATTTGCATGTCGGTATGCGATTACTACTACGAGAAGGTCGTACTAAGGGAATTGGCAAAATAACACAAATATTTCCACTAATAGGTCAACAGAACAGTATGCAGTAAATTAAATAAAATTTTATTTATAAAAAAGTATTAGAATGTGCAAAACGTTTACGAAGATATAAAGAAACTTAATTACTTGAATTACTACTAACTGTTATTACATCATGCGCCTAGCATAAGTATCATAAATTATACATATTTGTTATAAAACAAATAAGGGAAATTCTTTTTGTTTTCGAATTTAATTTTTTAAAATAGAAACATTTTTTTATATAAGAAAGATAAATACAATATTTTTAACAATTTTTTGTAAATTCTTTTCTGTTTAAAAAGATTGTATATTATTAAGAATAGGATAAATGAAACAGCAAACACGATCAAATAACAATTATTTGTTTATAACTTAAATACTTTTGCTTTAGGTGCATTAGTTTTGTTGTGAAGAAAAGAAATCTTAATCTTATAAAATTTCTACTATTTTATTATTTTATTATTGTGATTATAATCATATCTTCGTTTCATTATTATGGAATTTATTTATAGATTATTTATGAAATGATTTATTTCGTCATGAAATAACACAAAATGAAAGATCATTTTAACTATTTAATGTCATCTTTTTATGTGACGCTCAAATTTAAAAATTTTTCATGAGAGCAATCATTATAATAATGTAATGTTTCTCTATAAAATTTGATCTTGACTATCGAATCTATTTGCTCTGTTAATATTTAAAAAAACACGGAATTAAAGAAATTTATTAAAGAAATAATTAAAGAAATTTGATTAAATGCAGAATAAATATTTTTGCGATCGATTACTGTCATGAAATGATAAATATCGAATGCAATATCGTCTTTCATTCATAAAACTTTAAGAAAAACTTAAAGAAAAAATTATATTATATACTATAAATTGTACGTATAAATCTGTCAAACAAAATTATTAAAAGTGGTTATATTTACGTATGTTTTGAATTTTAAAAAAAATTACAAATGATAAAATTTGTAAAATTACTTGAAAATATTACATATCTTATAAAATATATTAAAATGTGTTATAAATTACGGTACAGCCGTCCAAAAAAGATTTTGATTTTTTTTGATTTATGTTAAATTTTAAATATGATCTTGTATTATATTGTAAAATATTTTAAATAAAACAAAAAAATGTACACATCTATATAGAGTGGATTTTTTTATATCGCAGAAAGAAAAGTTTTCTTTAAAAAAAATATATATTCATTGTCAAAGAAAAAATAGATTTAAAAAAATGATTTGAGATTATTTAAGATATATCCTAAAATATTTTCATTGTTATTTATGCATCAATTAATAATTTTTATAATTATAATTAAAAAAGAAAAAAATATTTATTCATTGTGATTATATGAAATCATTAAATAAATAAGGCAATATATAAATTATTTTATTCTTAAGTGCAATCCAACTTAATGTTAAATTGCACTTAAGAATAAAATAAAATGTCATGTTAAATTCTGAAAAAATACTGTTCTAATAGGAAATGCAGATTTATCATCTATAAAATTATTGCAACTTACATATTTCATAATTACACGCACAATATCTATAAAAGCTAAAATACAAGAATTATATAAATAAATCATGTGTAAATATTTGTAGCTTCTCATCGCATTCAAATAAAAGAGTTCTTCAAACAAGCTGATTTCTTATGATTTTTGTAAAATACAATTACTTATTTAAAAATGATAATCACTCGCATGACTAGCAATAAAAGAGACGCCAGAAAAAGAAACGCGAGCTATGAAGACTCTGAAACTGAGATAAATAAATATAAAAAAAAAAAATGGTATAAAAGAAAGTTAATAATTATTCAACATGATTACTTTCGGTAATCATCTTTATCGTCATTAAAAAGTATTCTTGTTTCAGATTACGTGTTCTGATAGTTCGGAGTGGGAACATTTAACGTGCCCCAAAAGAATACGAGTCTTGTTGGATCATGCCTGATGAAAAAGATGAATGGCCGATTTGCTATGAGCCTCTTCTGATTTCCATCACGTTCTAGCACAATGCTAGTCACGACTGCGGCCTCGGTACCTTTTTCCGTGATATCAATCTCCACTTTTTGAAGAACTTTAGAAGCGAAAAGATGAGGATTCACTAAATTGCCACTATTTCTCAGATCATCCAATCCAAATGAGGGGAAATTTTTTTGCTTTATATAATTCAAAAAGTCCTGATTAATCGGTCTACTCTGTCTTCTGTTTCTTCTTTGTTTATTTTCCTGGAAGCGATACTTATTTTCTTCAAGATTTATAACTTTTGCATGATTGTTATTTTCTTCGATTCTCTCTTCTATTTTATACAAATTTCTGTCTTCTTTCTTTTTGACGTCACGAACATTGCGAATTTTTCTAATGGAAAACCCATTTGCCCATTGTTCCACAGAATAGCCCCGAAGCTTATCCTCGTATGTGAAGGAATTTCTTTTCATCATACGACCCTTCATCCTTTCATCTTGAATTGAAATACGAGAAGAAATAAAATCTTCGTAATTCTGTTGACGTGTATTCGTTCTATTATTTCTTAGTTGCGTAAAAGATTTAGTTATTCCATTCTGATTGTTTTTACTCTTCCCTTGAGATATAAGACTCAAATCCGCTAATTCAGGATCAAATAAAGATTTCACGCCTAATGCAGCAAGTACAGGTTCTAAGTGTAATGTGCTGCTCAGTTTCATTCGTGGCATACCAATGATACAGGTTTCATTTTTCATGTTCTTAACTAAATTTTCAATTATATCAACTGTTAGTTTATTTTGGAATTCTCGAAGAGCTTTCGCGCCTGCATTTTTTGGAAGAAGAATATACATTGAGATCTGCAAAAAGATATTGTAAAATGATTTGACAAAATTTTATCGATTTATAAAAATCATATTTTAATTGTAATATTTAGAATTCGATTAATTTTTCTTAAATATAAATAAAGTATATTATAATCAAGATTTTATAAAATACTTATATTTATAAAATAAAATACTTATATTTATAAAATACTTACTTCGTGACCTTTATATGGAAGACCAAGAATTTTTACACCTAATTGTTTATCTTCATAAAAGGGAAAAGTACCTGCATTGTACATCATGTCTACTAGAATTGATTCATTTGGCTCAACGTGAAATAACGTCCTAATTAAACAATTAATTATACAATATTGGTACATACATCGCAATCTTATAATCATAGCAATTATTAAACATCAAATAATTATTAAAAAGTATATATATAAAATGATTTTAGATATATATATTTTATAAATTTTTTTTAGGAAAAAAAATACCTTTTTGTAAATCCTGTTAAGAAATGTTGATTCCATTCACCATTAAAATAAAGTGCCGATAAAAGAATCATCATAGTATCTGGACTAGGCACATCATCCAAAATTTTTGAAATTTTTCCCATCGTCTTCTGATTTACCCATGTGTTTATTATGTCCATTGTTGCTTTTCCTTTTCTTATGAAATCTACGTTGATTAACTCATTTTCATAAACATTGTTGCTCAGTGCTTTAAATTGTGGCAATATTGGAAATCCATCCTAAATCAAAATTATCTATAATATGTGTTTGTTTTATTTAAAATAAAAATGTTTAATTTTCTTATGAAACAAAATTTTTACCTGAACATATGAGGCTGTAGCAAAATCTACACGTGGCCCAGGAGATCCATCTATCTTGGTGTGGAGTTTCGTTAATAATAGGCCAAACATCTGATGAACGATCTCAGAGTTTTGTGAGATATCAATACCACTTTCAAGTCCAAGTACTTTAGACACTTCGTTGAAAGTTTTGCCAGCAGAACCCGCAAAAACAATCGCTAATGTCACTGTGAGGCTGATCGGCGAAAAAATTATATTATCTTTTTGACCCATTAAAGACATGTCTCGAGTTCTATAAATCTGTCGTTCTACGTCCAGGGCAAATTTTAATACTCCATTAATAATAATGTTGTTTACCTGAAATTATTTTTATTTATTATTTTTTATAATATAATTTAATTTAATTAATTAAAATGATAAAAAATTTTTTAATAATATATATGTATATCTTCCAATCATTAATTAATATTATATCGAATAAAAATTTAGTTGATTTGATTGAATGTAATCTTAATTATTAATTATTAATTATATTAAATATTATTCAATATTCATTGAAAAAATATTAATATATAAAATACTAAACTTTTTAACTTTTTAATATTTTATATAAATTTTATTTATAAATTTGCTTGAAAATTATACGTTGTAAAAACAACAAAAAAAATCACAGCAGAGAATAAAATATCAATACTTTATTTAATATTTCTAAATAAACTTATTCGATCTTTATTATATGCAATGTACAGAATATCATAGATCAATTTGCAATTTTTTGTTAAAATTCAGTTTGTATGCATTTTCAAACATTTCAAAACTTTTATATAAGTTATATCATATGCAATAATGAAAAAGATTCATTATGAATACTATTATTGAAATATTAACTCATTATTGTGAAATTTTAAGGTCACTGTTCAGCAACTTGTGTTTAATGAACAACTTGCATCACCAATGCTGCCTTTTATTTATCATGAATACCATCATAAATATCTTAAGAATATTTCACAATGTGTGAATTTAAATGTTTCTACTTTTTTTCGTGATTCATATGATTAAATTTATTTCTTAAAGCTTCCATCCAAAGAAATATTAAAACTTTTCATTGGATATTTTAAAATATCTTTCTACTTACATGATCGCTCCAGCCTTGTAGCGTGTTCTCCATCTGAGCAGGATATCTTGCTGCATTTTGCGATTTATTGGGTATCATAGGTTGTAATGAGGTCAATGGCGGTTGTAAATTTGCAGAGCTACTTTTAGTTATAGAATTTGCAATGTTTGAATACAGATCTGGAGGAATAGTTGATAAATTTCTGAGCCGGTTATATTCATCAGGATAGATCAATTGACCAAAAGCACTGGTCATAAGGCTTAAAAATATTAATGTAGTCACCATTGCTGCAAAAAATGTGAATATTGATCAATAAATATGTAATTATTTAATTAATGAAAATTAGATTTTATTAATTGCAGCATTATAAAATGATTTTTTAGT